AGCCTAGGCAGTCTGGATGCTCACCTTACTAGACCTGGATGGAGAAGGGTGGTCCTTGGACTTCCCACAGGGCAGAGAACCCTGATTGCTCTTTGGGCTGACGAGGGGGGGGGGACTTGATTGGGGGCGGGGGAGGGAAAGGGGAGGCGGAGGTGGGGAAGAGACAGAAATCTTTAATAAATTAAAAAAAAGAGTAATAAAATAATAGCAGACCCACATGACCTCAAGGCTCAACACTAAATGCAACTTGATAGCTGATCTAGATTAAGAAGGGGACAATTTAGGGGACTGTTTACTCCAGACCACAGAGGCCCTCTGTGTTTAGATGTGTGCATTATGTGTTTTCTGATGCACTATCTGAAGTAGCTTGATGGCTGTAGGTTAAGGCTATCACCAAACAATGTTCTATGTCTGTTTTTCTTAAAGCTATTCACTATAATTAATGAATAATCTTTTGAAAAGCCACGAAACTTAACCCAGGCTACAGATCTTCCAGAGAAAAAAATTTTTTAAAGAAGAGCCTTCTATACCCTCAGGGTATATGCAATATGTTCTGAATGTGAATATTTGTTTGTTTGTTTGTTTTTACAGTAATGTTCTTGCAAAGCTCCTAGTGTTAAACTCTATGCGAACACCTGTAAAAGAGAGAAAAGATATAACCGACCACTTTGCCCTCTCCCTGTAAGAATCCATATGAGGGTAGCTTAGATGGACAATAGGATGCAGGAGCCCATAAGAACAATCTGGAAGTTCTGTGTGTGTAGGTATTATGCAGGCAGGTTGGATTGATGTCTTCACATCTAATGGACCCTGCTATGACCATTGAGTGGAGTGTGTTCTATGGTCAAAAATGAAGGTTAGCAATGTGGTAAAACATGTCAGATGAACTTCTCAAGCCTTTCGGCAGGAGCCCTGCTCAGTGCTTCTCACCAAACACAGTGGATCTTAAAGTCAGGTGGTTTTGTTTTGTTTTGTTTTGTTTTTGTTTTGTTTTTCTGTATAGCCCTTGCTATCCTGGAACTCTTTCTGTAGACCAGGCTGGCCTCGAACTCACAGAGATCTTCCTGCCTCTGCCTCCAGAGTGCTAGGATCAAAGGTGTGCGCCACCACTGCCCAGTGTTCAGGTCTTTTAACCTGGGTGTGGCAGCCTGGACTCTGAAAGGTCTAGCATCCCCTTCAATCTTTACACAGTGGATATCGTTGACCACTTTAGCACGTCTGTATTCTCTGAGTTATATTGTAGTTCTCAACACTGGGCACATCTGGAGACAGGTCTGGCTGTCACAGTGGCAGAGGGGTGGTCTGGGCACTTGGTGGGTGGAGCCCAGGGATGCTGCTGAGCAGCTGTGCACAGGACACTGGCCTATAAAGAGAATTACGTTTCCCTACACACCGAGAGCATCGACTCTGAGAGAGTCTGTTTTACAATTTTAAAACAAATCTGTGCTTTCTCTATTTTATTTTGTATCTATTTGATTCATGTACATGAAGGGACAACAAACTGAAAGAGACACTCGGGGCTAGGACATTAGTTCGGGATCTAGGACATCAATCTAGGTTAATAAGAGGGCATTGGCCTCTCCTTGCCTCAGTTTCCTCACTTCTAAAGACAAGTCATACTTCAAAGGAGTTCAGTGAACAACCACGAGTGCTCATTAAGTATGGGGAGCTTCTCCGTAAAAAGGTTTCGAAGAAGCCGAGATGATGATCAAGTCGTTATTCCTATAACTAGATCTTCGCTTATAACCAGGTAGCGTATGACTTCAGAAAAATTATGCTAAAATGTCTTTTTTTCTAAGCATTCTACCTAAGGTTTATCAACGCAGAGATGATGCTATTACGCCCGCTGACCTCATACTCTGAACCCCCGTGTTTCCCGGTTTTCATTCTCTCCTGTTAGAAGGGCGCGGTTAGCCAAGAGGCAGCAGAGAGAGCGGAGGAAGCCAGCACATCGGAGCCACGCCTTGCAACCGTTCATTAGTGTGGGAACGCGGTCAGCTCCTCGGTCTCCCTGGGCTCCAGTTTTCATTATCGTCAAATGAGAAGCGCTGCACTCAAGTCAGATCATTAAAACGAAAACTAGTTAATGTGTGCAAGGCACCTGCACACAGTGGGCACTTAATAAGTGCCATTTTCTTTCCCTCCCTCTGGGCTTTCCTCCGCTCTGGACTGGGGATAAACATGTTAACGCTGGGCTGTGGACGATGACGACGTGCAGGCATCCGTGAGCGAATGGCTCCAACCTCTCCCCCTACAAGGTGTTTCATAAATGCTGTTTAATTTGTTTAAAGTTTGCCCGATAGAAATTCCTTTCCTTTTACATTTCTTTCGACTTTTCTCTTCTGAGGCCAAGACTTAAACAGAAGAGCTGGGTGCAGTTGCCAAAGAGGACAAGAACCCATGCTCGGAGGAGCCACCGAATGAGAAGGCCCATGGGGACCAACTATTCTTTTGAAGTGAATTCTTTTTCTCTTTCTTTTATTATTTTTTTGGAGGGGTGCATAATAAAGAGGTCCACATGGAACATGTACTAAGAAAATTAGATTGGTGTAAGTTGGCTTCATTTTCTGGTCTACAATGAGTTTTCAATGAGTGCTCCGGGCACTGTGTACCTTGCTCAGGTTCTATAGTTCATTTGGACATTCAACTAGAACAGGGAACAGAGCAAGCTTGTGGGTGAGTCATACCAAGGCCAGAGCCAATAAGAGAGGAGCTTCCTGAGACCTGGAAGTCAGGGTTCACGTTCAGCATCCACACTTCCACCAGCTTGGAGATAATCACTTCAATGCTCTAATAATAATGCTTCAATAAGTCTAATTGCCTTATCACCTTTGGAGGATTGTGTTTGAAACACCTAACAAGTCGCCTAGAATTTAGGCACCAAGCCAAATCTAAATCTTGAGACAAACATCCATGGTTGTTCCGTGCTATAAAATCGCTTCTATGTATGATAGGGTCTTCCAAATGCATTCCATGACACATCATCCCCTGCACTAACCCGGATGCAGGAGGAAAGGGAGGAGAGGGGGCTCTGCAGCCTGTTAGGGTGAGATGCACCGCACACTGAGCCATCTCTCACAGACTCCCAATCCCATGATCGGCTTGATGAATTTTGGTGTGACATTATTAAACACACTCACCAACCAGCTACCTGCTAGCAAATTGATAAATCTCAAGTTTTTCTCTGTTTGACGATATAAAACATCTATCGATCCTTCAGGACTGAAAATGCAATAGCAAAACACAGCATTTAGCTCGTTGTGAGTAACCATATGGACTGTTGGCTTTATGAGTCACCCTAAAATCAATATCCAATGAGAGAGAGGCTTTAGCCCAGGATACTTCTTCAACAGTCAGTGGACCTAACATAAATACGCAGGGGAATTAACACTGGCGGTAAGGACTACAAGATGCATTTGCTAAGAACTTAAAAGACTCTTCCATATGTCGGACCTCATTTGTTTAACTAAAGCAATTGTAGTTTTCCCCATTGTGCAGATCAGAAAGCTGTTGTGAACATTCACTAAGTGGTGGGACCACAGTGCAGACCTGCTCCATTCCATGTCCAAAGCGTAACTCTCTATACTATAATCCCTGGGGCATTAGAAATGGAAGCCACACCAAGGTTGACTGTTATTCATATTTTCACAAAAAAAAAAAAAAACAGGCAAACCTTAAGGTCCTTGATGGGTAAATATGCCTTCTTCCTTGCAGCTTAGATGGGCGATGCCTACAGGGAAAGAAGGGCTTAGCCAGCTTTAAGAAGGGTGAGGGGAGCAGAGCAGGGTGGCAGGTTACCTGGGCTAATGAGAATTGAACCCCAGCTCCCACATAAGCTGCTGCAGAAGCCTGGAAGTCTCTTCCAGCTTTGTGCCTGGTTCTGTGCCTGCAAATTCTAGATTACGATGGGACCCAACTATGCATGGTTTTGGGGATTAAGTGGGTATCATCAAATAGAGCTAAAAATAATGACATTCCAAATGCCTATGATTTCTATTGTAAGAAGGCCCTTGCTGGTAGCTTTATGAAGACAAATCAATATTTAGAATGCTTTTTCTTTTTTAAAAAGTCTCTCTCTGTGTCTCTGTCTCTGTCTCTGTCTCTGTCTCTGTCTCTGTCTCTCTCTCTCTCTCTCTCTCTCTCTCTCTCTCTCTCTCTCTCTGTGTGTGTGTGTGTGTGTAGGCACAAAAATGCCACCGCCCTTTTGTAGAAATCAGAACATAACTCTTGAGAGTTGGATCCCAGGAATAAACTCAGGGAGGGATAAGGCCTAAACAATAACCTCTAAGTTGGGCCACCTTCCTTTGTTACCAGAAAACTGTGTGCTAAGTTTCGGGACAGGGGGGGGGGGGAGATCTACTTGGGTGTAACTATCCCACTCTACTGCGGAGATAAATGCTGAGCAATTTCTACTTCCCCGCCCACTCGAAAGAAAACAACATAAAGCATGTTGGAACCAACTCTGAGTTATTTTTGTATTCGCTGTCTGCAGGCAGTTTTTTCTTCACGGGTTCTAGCCATTTCGAGGCGATAGGAACATCTCCAGCATGGGCCTATGAGGAGTGATCTCTGTGGAGGCAGACACGCCAATCTAAAATAGTCTCAGCATAAGCGAGAACGCTGCTGGCTACATGATGTAAACTTTCTGTGACTTTCTTAGGAACTTTCATGGTTACCCAAAAACATAAAGCATTTTCACGAAGTGATGTCCTTGCCAACAAAAAGGCGTGGGGAGGGTGTGTGTGCAAGGAAACCTAGCGTCATTCCGGGGGACAGGCGTCACCCATACCATGCTGACATGTGGAGGACCAAAGGTTTGCGCTAGCTCAGGGGTGAGTCTGACCAATACTATGTGTTTCAGTAGAACAAGTTTTAAAAAGTCTTTAAAGCTGAGTGACGTCAATTTGTTAACATTTTTAGGACGGAAGTTTAAAATTTTTTTTTTCTTGAAAATAAAGATATTTGTTTGAAAAAGCAAGTCATTGCTATTCATTCCTTAGACTGTGACCCCCAGGAATCAGTTCCTAAGGAGAGGGTGTTTAACCGGTGAGGAGCATTTCTTTTAGTTAATAATCTAGGAGTTTTAAGGTGCCTGCTCTTTCTTGCTCTTACCTGCTTCCTAACTCCCGGTGCTGTGTGCTGTGAGCCTGGCGTGTGGCAGCCATAGAACAAAGTCTAATGGGTTAGTTTATAGATCCGGGTAAAGGAGGGTTCTTGAATGGAGGCAGGGTCAGGTTTCAACTACAGGATGCCAGTTTTTGCTAACGACTATAGCGCCCTCTGCTGGCGGATGGTGAAACTACACGACAGGTTGGGGAAAGAGAAACTGGTACTGAGATATTTCCTCACCAGGCTTCTCTTCCCGTCCACATTTCGTCATAGAGGGAGCAGGGTAGAGATGTGCTCATTTATACTATTTTATATGCCTCTGATACGGCAAACGCAAAAGTTAGAAGAAATGAGTAACTTCTCTTTGGGCTGTCTGGGAAAGGCAGTAAATAAAGAAAACTATCGCAGCGCAAGAAATGGACGGCTGGGCCTTCACTATGACCATCTGCCAGGCAGTAAATTATTAAAGGTCTATGCCCGAGCAGCATCTGGAAAGGAGGCGCAGACACTGCAGTCACTCTGCTCTGTTAATCTCGTTAATATGCCGATTTGTCCCTGTGATGCTGAGCTTTCTGCACCACATCTATTTCTGTTTCGGAGCACCGCTCAGGGCCCGCTCAAGTCTCCTTTTGTTCCCACTATCTTCTCGCCTATAGGGCCTGTTCGCGTGCACGGACACCGCTGCGTTTCCTTTCCTTTCTGTAAGAGAACATATACGGCTGCTCCTTTCTATTCATCCCGCCCCCACCCACCCCATAGCTCAGGAGCCAGTGGTGACTAACACGGTCCTAGAGTGACCTCTGGCTGCCGCGTGTACACACGGGCTTCGAGCTCAGGCCCGAAAGCCCTCCAAGAGCAACTTCCCAGTGTATGAAAGGGGGTTCATTGACAGGCAAGGAATAAAAGACACTGGTCACTGAACCTTTTACAGTCTTTCAGATCTGGAAAGCTAACGGCTTTTCCATCATCTAGCAATAAGACAACAGAGATCCTTTCTCCAAAATAAATTGCACGAGCATATGAAATAGTCCGTCAATTTCCCCTGTTCTGCCTGGTTCGGAAAAGATTATTTAACTTTCTTAGTGGGATACATTCTAAACACGACATGTAGATCCAATGAATAACTGACATTACCTTTGAGGGGTGGCAGTGTTCCCTGCGGGGTCCATGATCTGAAATTCCAGGATATCTGAATTCACTTGCAGAGATGGGTTTATGATGTAAAGAATGGTCTTGCTGCTTAAGTCCTTCTGGCTAAATCGCTCATGGATAAATTCACCTACAAGCAAGAAATAAATGAATCTCACGGATAATTGAATCAGACATCACTTAAGAACTGATAAAACCACCCAGGTGTGTTTTTTGTTGTTGTTGTTGGCTTTTTGTCTTTGTTTTTGTTTTGTTTTGAAAGACAACTTTAAGGAATAGTGCAGGACGGGAGATGTAGCTGAGTTGGTTAGAGTGCTTGCCTAACAAGCAGGGGAACACCTAAAATCCCGCAGATGACACACTGGAGGAAGAATAATCAGAAGTTCAAGGTCATCCTCAGCTACATACCAAGATCAAGGTCAGCCTGGGCTACTTGAGACCTTGTTTCAAAACAAAATGGCAAAAGTCTATTTTGAAAAGAAATCAACCAACATTATTGCAACTTTATTAAAATTCAAAGCAATGGATTCAAATTCATCTTTAAATTTGCTTTGCTTCAGAGATATTTGCCTTACAGTACTAAACTAGAAAGAAAGGAAATCGGAAATGAATAAAGCCTGTCACCTCTGTGCTATCCCAATTAGTGAGGTATTGTGCTCACTGCCTTCCTCAAGCAGAAATAATAGGCAATCTAGCAAAACCATTAGGGAAAAAAAGATTTTTTTAAAGGAGCTTTTATCATTTAAGATTCATAGTAGAAGAAAGAAATTAGCCTCCGATATCAATCTGACCCTGGCACTGTGTTCTGAATATAAAACAAACTGAAAAATAAGCAAAAATAAGCAGCAACAAAATGGTGAACATTTGAGCTTCTGTGAGCTGGGACTCAGTTCTTCTTATGGAGATGAATGTAGAAGGTGCAGCTTCAAGTCCCCATTAGCAACTATATTGATTTAGAAACCGAGTCTATCAGCAAGTCCTGGGAAACACTCACCAAATGGACTTGCACTTAATTGAGTTACTCTCTAGCCCTGGAAGCAACTGGCAGTTTAAAAACAGGGATTCAGATGGAGTGTACCTGTGGTCGTGTTCTCCAGACGTCCGTGCAGTGGGCCTCTTAAAATCTTAAAAATGATCTGGTCATCCTCTGTGTCAGGGTCTGACGCCTTCAGCACATGGGAGGTGATGTAAATGCCATAACAGCCATTTTTCAAGAGCCCCACTTGAGAAGGGGAGTGCAGGCGTGTGATCCGGGGTGCTGCTTTGTCCAGCTGGTCCACCTGAGTCATAGGGAGACGTTGTTCAAGGACTTCTTTCCCCATTCTACACAGCCTTCAACATGGCAAAGTCCTCAACTCACAGTCCTTACCCATGCTACACAGGCTTTTACAATGGCAAAGTCCTCAACTCACAGAATGATGGAGAAGGGTCATCTGTCTATAGGTTAATAAAGAAACTGCCCTGGCCCTTTAATAGGACAGAAAATTAGGTAGGTGGAGTAAACAGAACAGAATTCTGGGAGAAAGAAGCCAAGTCAGGCAGTCGCCATAGCTCTCCTCTCCAAGATGGATGCAGGTTAAGATCTTACTGGTAAGCCACCACCTTGTGGTGCTACACAGATTATTAGATATGGGTTAATCAAGATGTGAGAGTTAGCCAGTAAGAGGCTAGAGCTAATGGGCCAAACAGTGTTTAAAAGAATACAATTTGTGTGTTGTTATTTCTGGGTATAAAGCTAGCCGTGCAGGAGCCGGGTGGAGGGAAGCGGCCCGCAGCTCCCACTACAACAGAATGTGGTCATCTGTTGAGCCTGCTTTGTTCACCATCCTAATAATACAAAGACTAGAGCAGAGGCTTTATTTCCACCACAGACCTTCACCCAGCTTTGCAATTTGTCTGGTGTCTGACTCCCCTTACACTATTAGCTTTATGATGGAACATTCTGTATCTGCCCTGCAACTCACCTCTCTCTCTCTCTCTCTCTCTCTCTCTCTCTCTCTCTCTCTCTCTCTCTCTCTCTCTCTGTGTGTGTGTGTGTGTGTGTCTGTCTGTCTGTCTCTCTCTCTCTCTCTCTTGTTTTTGTTTTTGTTTTGCACATGCCTTTGCCAAAATGGCAAAAGTGCTGAATAGAGAAATGGAAATCGTTTATGACAAAACCCACGAAAGTGATTATCTTTAGACTATGGGTTGTTTTGCTGAAGCTGAAGACCACATGACTCAACAGGTGCACTAGATTTTTGAAGGTGGCTGATGGACAAGTAAGGCTGTGGCAGAGACGGAACCCCGAGGGCAAGCTACCTAGCCAGACTGGGTGAATTGGCAAGGTCCATGTTTAACAAGAGAGACCCTGCCTTTGTAAAACAGAGTGGTCAAGGAAGACAGCCAAAGTCAGCCTCTAGACACCGGATGGACATGCATGCGCCAGACGCACACAAACATGCTTCTGTATTTATAAACATGCATGCACACACACCACACACATATGCTTGCAAAAAAAAATGTGTATTTATGTTTTCTGGATTTGTTCTAATTGATTATATAAATACCTTAATGGATTTGGATCTGCAAATTGTGTGCTGGGACTTTCAGCACTTTGGGGTGTGACAGGATGTGAGGGGTAAGTGTCCTGATGGTCACCTAGGGACAGAAGCTCTCCAGCCACGGCAGTGTGGAGGAGGAAAAATGAAAATACACTACGCCATATTAGGATCCTCCAGAAAACGAGGCATCTGAATGTAGGGTTGTGGTTTTTATTTTTGATGTTATATTTCTCTTATAAGCCCACGTATTATAAACGTTATAAATGTCTGTTGTGATAATGCTTTTGAAAACGTGTCACTGTCTAGTCACTTTGGTTACCTGTTATGCCTCTGGCCACACCTGTGTGCTCAGGTGTATTAAACATTTTGCTTCTACAAAAGCAGGTGTTTGACTTGGTATACCAGGTTTTAAAATGTTACAGGAAAGAAGACATTTTATTTATAAGGAAGGCTCTGCTCTGTTGTATGATAACTGGAGTTGGATGTAGTGAAAATTCTCCCAGACATGTCAGTCCCATAGAAAGTAACAGCAGGTTCTTTCACCTCCACACAGTCTTGTCCCCTTCCCAGGAGAACGCAGATTTCAACAGTCTTGGGCATGTATGATTTCCCATAGAATGAAGGTCATGTGTGTCTGTTGGTATCAGCCAAGTACACCCTTCAGTTATTATTCATTTATTTTTACTTTTTACATCCAGATTTCCCCTCAGTTACTCATATACCCGCACAGAACCAATTGACCCATGTTTGGGTCATGTATATGGGTCAGTGTAGATATATACATGGCAGTCAATAAATACTGTATTGTCTTGACAAAATTAGTTCTTGGAAGTAGGACACTGACATTGCTGGCAGGGCCAGTGGCTTCATAAACAGCCGCTTGACCCCTCTGCTATAAGGGACTGGAGGTCAAGGAAATCTGGGAACAAAACTCTTAGACTTTCCCTTAAGTATTTAGCACAGTGTTTGTTTGCTGTTGCAATGAACAGCTTGCCTTTGTGATGAAAACCACGCTTTACCACACCCAGCAGACAGCTTCCACAACTTCAGAGAGGGAACAGACTCTTAGGACAGCTTTGTTCTTCGAGGAGCACTGTCTTGAAGAGATTCGCTTCAGTTCTAGCACATTCTCTCTATTCCACCCTCATTTCCATCTCTGAAGTACAGGAAGCAGCTGGGTCTGCGTGTCGAATTGGTAGCTCTTGGGAACTTTCAGAAAATGAACCCACGAGTCTTTTCCGGTGACACTGTAGTATCTGTGTGCCAGTGACATCGACACCCTCTCCCCGGTGTCACTGACTCATTCCATTTCCTCAGCATTCACAGTGCCAAAGACTCAGCCACACCCGGGACCCTGCAGGTTAATCCTGAGCCAAGTGTTCTAGGCTGTAGGCCTACATGGTCTAGTGAAGAGTGTTTAGCTTCAAATACTTAATGATGTCCACTGGGTGAGCCTTACCCAGTCTATCGCCAGGCTGGAGAGAAAAGGTTGGGGTTCCCCTAAAGAAATAAGAGCTTCGTTGCTCCACTCCTTTTAGATTCAAGCCTACAGCATCACCTTAGCTGCGAGTCTACTGGCTTGCTCGCACAACGTATCCTGAGCACGCCAGGGCCTGTAATAGCACGAGGCAATTCCTAAATCAATTTCTGCTTGTCCACCTCTCTGTCTTTCACACACATGCACACACACACACACACTTTCTGTCACACTATTAATCTGTATGGTCTATCTACACAGCTACATGGATGCTGTACTCACACACACACTTTCTATCACATTCTATCAATCTGTGTGGTCTATCTACACAAATATATGGATGCTGTACACGATGCACACACATACACACACACTTTCTATCACTCTATCAATCTGTATTGTCTATCTACACAGATATATGGATACTATACACAACAAACACACATACAGACATTTCTCCGGGGAATCCTATCAGAGGCCAAAAGAGGAAGGAGAAAAATATGATCATCTCACTAGTCAGAATATCTTGAAGTAGAGACAAAACCACGTCTTTGTTGCTGTTGGTTGAAGTGTGTGGAACAGGGTGAACTCCATCCAAGTAGAGTAGATTTAAGAGTTCTGAGAGCCAGAACATACTTGATGTGTTTTGACTAAAAGACGAAAAACACTCTTCCCTCCAAGAATAATTGAGAGTCAACAAACGTGGCAGCGTGGAGCCAGAGGAAGGACACAGAGCTTGGAATCCAACAGACTGGATGTCTTTGATCAAATTATTTAACTTCTGATATTCAGTTTCTTCACGTATAAAATGCAGACAATAAAGCTTACCACATCAAATGTTTATGAGACTCAAATGAGATTTATGCAAAGTAGGCCTGATCTTTAGATAACAATTTTAAAAAAAGTTCTTGTCTTGGCTGTAAAGCATTGTAGGCGCTAGAGGACGGGGAGCTGTACTATAAAAAAGACATCTAGACACGACAGGGCCTCAGCACCCACGAACACAGGGCAGCTGGTTATCTGCACAAGACTGGGCCCAAGTACATTTCATCCTGGGTGGGGAGGGAGCGCAAGGCAACACCACTCCCGGAGGGTCCAGTGACAGTTAATAGCTGCTGGGGGAGAGAGAGGACCTTGTTTTCTGCAGTGTAACTGTTAGTAAGTTCCCCATGCCCCAATTTAAACTTAGCGGGTCACATATAGAAAGAAGATATGAAAGTGGCGGTGTTGGGGGCGTTGTTGGGGAACGGTTTCAGTGGGCAGAGGAGGGTGATAAAAAGAGGGAATTGGGGAAGGAAAAATTAAGATGCACTATAGAGGTTCAGGAAACTGTCTAGGAATTAAAAGGGGGAAATGTTTGTATCTGCTGCTACGGTTATGACCATCATCAGCTCCTGGGGGATTCTCATGCAGCCTTGTAGGCTTCCACATTTACATGTTTATTTGAAGATCCTTAAAATGCCAGTGGATAAGACGCCTGACTAGGCAGACTCCTTAATGGTGTAGTTATAGCAATGAATGTCTAGTATGTACCTTAAATATGTTTCAGGCAGTGTGTGAGTGCCTTGGGTACTGAATCTTGTCTAACTGTCCCCACAATTCTGCAGGCAGACTTTTCAAAGATTCGGAGGTGTGGTCGTTTGAATAAGGATGGCTCCATAGGCTCGTGTATTTGAATGCTTGCTCCCTAGTTGATAGACTGTTATTTAGGAAGGATTAGGGGGCGTGGCTTTGTTGAAGGGGTGGCCTTTCGGTTTCAAAAGTCCACACCAAGTCAAGCCTCGCTCTCTCTGTCTTGGGCTTGTGGGTCAGGAGGTACGTTCTCAGCTGCCGCTCTAGTGCCATGCCTGCCTGGGGCCACGTTCCCTGCCTTGAAGGCCAGCGGCTAAGCCTCTGAAACTGTAAGCAGGCCCCTAATCAAACGCTTTCTTCCATAAGCTGCCTTGATCCCAGTGCCGCATCTCAGCAATGGACCAATAACTAAGACGGGAGGCACTGAAGAGTTCATTGTCGGTTTTCCAGATAACAAATGGCAAAAGGGCAACTCAAACCTATGTCTGCCCGACTCTAAGGCCCATGCTTTCCTTCCTTCCTGCCCTTCCACCAATTTTTGAGGTCAGTCCCTAGCAGTCATAATGATGGCCCAGCATGCTGAAGGCTAGGTCTCACTGCCAGGGGTATGGAAGCACGGAGATACCACTCCCTGAAACGTCTCTCTCCTTATCTCTGGCACAAACTACATGCCTGCCATACTTGCCTGGATGGTGAAGAGAACAGGCTGTTTCCGCACCTTCCCATCCACAATGAAGCCTTGGTTCTTCCTGTCTGTGGCCAGGAAAGTGAAGCCGTCTGCCTGGGAGCTGCCTCCGGAGTGCTGATAGGCCACATCCCCGCTGTCCACGTCTTGCTGGGTAAAGTTATGGTGAAGGACTTTCCCCCTCAGGTAGAGGTACCCGTGGCGGGGGAGCTGGACCAGAAGGAAGGTTAGGCTGTCTGGAGGGGTGTCAGGGTCGGTCAGCTGGAGGTGCTCAGTGGACAGGAGGCCCATGGTCCCTTCTGCCAGCCTCAGCCCCTTGTTCCTGGTCACCACAGGCAAGGCTCTATCCACAGTCTCCAGTGTGATCTCAAACACCCCCTGCCGGGTCTGCAGTCCATTGCTGATGGTAAATCTGGCAAAGAGAGGCAAGGCAGCCTTCAGCATGGGCTCTTGTGGCACCAACGACTGGAATGAAACGATAACACACACACCTTTACTAAAGGACACGCTGCATTGGGACCCGAAGGAAAAGACAAGGCGGGCTTTCAGAAGAATACCCGCCTGCAATCGAACCAGTTGCTGGGTAAGATACAAGCTGACCATTCTAGAGTCAGGAGTGTTTCCTCACCATTGACATCCCTCCTATATGAAGCAGGCAAGCTCGGCACAATCTTTTGTCCCAAAAGGGTTTTCCTGCCTTTGTGTGATTGTCCGAGTAGCTAGGATATATTCATTACTTTTAATTTTGCAATATTTTTTCATGGAATGTAGAAAGCTTAACTTTAAAGACTGATCACTGAACCCCCAGTATAATGAGATACTGGATAGAATAATTCTTTCTAATATATATATTTTCATGTTTTTTTTTTCTCTGAGACTGGGTATTTAACCCAGAGATTTACCCGTGCTAGATTGGCACTCTACCCCTGTGCTACATTCCCGAACATCTTCTTTATTTCTGTAAAAAAGAAATGTCTCTATCTCTGTCTGCCTGCCTCCCTCCTTCTCCCTCTCCCACCCCGTATGCGTGTGTGTGCACGTGTACACACACGTGTGTATGCATGCATACCACAGCACATACGTGGAACCAGCAGACAATCTCCATATCAGCGTGGGTCATGCCTTCTACTCTATTTGAAACAAAGTCTGTTTTTCTGCAGCTGTGTATGCCAGGCCAGCGGCCCCACCCCCAAGCTTCCAGGGAGGCTTCTGTCTCTATCTCCCATCTTCCCACAGGAATGCTGGGATTACAGATGTACATTACTGTATCCGGCACTGAAAGGTTTTGGCTTTCTTTACTCAGAGCCTCCAGCTTGTAAGCACTTTTCTTACTGACTGAGCCAAACCATTTTTGTTGTTGTTTTTTAACTGTTTTGAGACATAGACTCACTAACTTGCCCAGACTGGCCTTGAACTCACTATGTAGCTTAGTCGGGCCTTGTACTTTGAATCCCCCTGCCTTCATCTCCTGAGTAGTAGGGATGACAGACCTGTACCACCAGGGCCTGGCTCATGGTGATGTTTGTAAAAATAGACCACATTATTCAGCCATGTCTTATTCTAGCCCAGGCTCCTTGCCGGGCCTTCTTATCATGCCTTTGTAAGACAATGGGAGGACAGGCCAGGTCACACCAGATGCTACTCAACAACACAGCATCATATGAGGCTCTAACCACCGAGAGTCTACACATGTTTTTCTGCACCTGCTTCATTTGAGATGTGTAGGGTTGATGATAGACAAGGATCCTTTCCCTGCGGAGAAGAGAAGTGTAGACACGCGTGGCGGGCACAGACAGGCAGTGTAGACACGCGGTGGAGGGCACAGACAGGAAGTGTAGACACGCGGTGGAGGGCGCAGACAGGAAGTGTAGACACACGGTGGAGGGCACAGACAGGAAGTGTAGACACGTGGTGGAGGGCGCAGACAGGAAGCTGGAGGCAATGCTGGCCCAGGGTTTTGACTCCATATACACTGCTCTTACAGCTTTAAGTCAGTAGCTCAACAGCCCACACACAACAAATCAAGAGTTGAGGTACAGCCGAGTGGTGGTGGTGCACACCTTTAATCCCGGCACTCAGGAAGCAGAGGCAGGCAGATCTCTGTGAGTTCGAGGCCAGCCTGATCTACAGAGTTCCAGGACAGCTAAAGCTACACAGAGAAACCCTGCCTCAAAAAACCAACCCCTCCCCACCACCCCCCAAAAAAGAAAGATTTGTAGTCCCTAAGTACAGTGGCCAACTTTGAAAAGCAAGTTGAAATGACACGCGATCTCTTACAATGTCTGCTTTCTTCCAGCAATCGCTAAGGCTTTTCTACTCCCTGCAGCCAGGCACATAGCAACACCAGATTCTGATAACATTTCAACACACTGTTTCTACTTTAAAGAAATTTAAGAATAGCAAGAGCTATACTAGTTAGCTTTCACTGTCTACTTGACATCACCTAAAATCACCCAAGAAGGGAGTCTCCGTTGAGGGACTGTCCAGACCAGGTTGGCCTGTGAGCATGTTTGGGGGGGGGGCAACTTGATTATAAATTGATGTAGGAGGGTGTAGCCCACTGTGGGCAGCATCATTCTTTATGCATGTGATCCTAGGCTATATAGTAAACCAGCTAAGCTTGAGTCTCTGAGAGCGAGCCAGTAAAGGAAGTAGCAACCACACTTGGTTTCTGCTTCATATTCTAGATTGAGTTTCTGTCCTGACTTCCCTCAATTATGAGTACAAGCCAAATAAGTCCTTTCTTCGTCTAAAGTGCAACTGGTCATGGTGTTTGAAGAGAAAGGAGACTACGAACTTATGTAAATAAGACACAATATTAAAACTCCAAAAAGTCAGAAATTCACTACTGCAAAATGAGATCGGCAAATTTACCACAGACAGAAGGAATGAAGGTACTGAGAGCTACTCAGAGTCACCTCTCAGCAGCCGCTGGAATATATGCAGAATGCATGCTCCACTGAGGTAAAAGTGTGGAGTGTTAACGTACTGGTGCAGACATTTCTAATAATGTATGTCTCTGGAATCTAACATTAAATCGTAAAAATCTCTTCGTTTCAACTAGGGAAACCATGGCATTTATTTTACAAGCCTGACATATTTGACTAGGAAATTCTTTATCCTCCATGCACTAACTCTTAGGCTTCAGGATCTGAGGGTAGAGCCTTTATTCTTGACTAAGAAGGAACCTGAAAGCAGGCTGCCAAACCAGTCTTCCTGGAGCAAAGGACTGAGTGGGACAGGAGGAGGAAGCATACTTAGCAGAAAGCCCAGGGAGACAGGTTTGGCTGAGCACAGATTTTGCTTTGAAGGTGATGCTGAAAGGCCTAGAATGTGTTTTGGTCGAATCAACCCTTCCCCCTCCTCTAATTTTCCCTCTATTCCTCCACTACTTTTCTCTCCCGACTTCATGTGCTCTTCTTAAGCTGAGTTCACTCAGTGGTACCTGGATGTAGGACAATCGACGAGAGAATGGGTAGCCTCTTAGAGCCGACAGCCCTGACAAAAAGTGACTGTCTCTCCTTCAGCAGCCATCAACTCCTGATGGCTCCTTAGCCAGGGGTGGGACTTCTTGAGCCCCTCCCCAACCATCCTGGTATTCTGACAGGTTTGGTCTAGTGCATGTAGTCACATCTGCTGGGAGTCCCTCTGTGCCGTGCCCAGCAAATCGCTGCGGTCTTCCGCGACCATCGTCCTGCACCAGTCTGTGACGATGCAGCCTGAGCCATAGGGGGAGAGGGATGACGTCAATGTCCTGTTTGGAACTGAGCACTCCACGGTCTTTTATTGCCCACAATTGGCTGGTTGCGGGTCTGTGTTAATCACCCTCTATTTGGGGTGTGGCAGGGAGCTCTCTGGTGAGGACTGAAAGATACACTAGCTGTCCATTCTGCCACTCCTCGAGCGAAATGGCTCTCTGTTCCCTAACATATTACACACAAAATGCGCTTTCTGCGGGAGTTTAAACCAGCTATCAATAATAAGGTGAGACCTCAGTGGGTGGTCTATGACTCTGTCCATGAAGCAGAATAATTGTAGCAGGTTTTCCCCTAGGGCCGATGACCTAGCCAGGCATGATTTGGGGCCGTCATTTGGGTCCCCATTAATTGTACTCTTGCGGACTGGGACTTAAATCTAATCAGAAAGCAACTGGCTACTCCCATAACATCTGTGCCACTGTTGTACCTATGGACATTTATTGCCAGGCTGGATGTTACTTTAGCTCTCAGGTTTGGGGGAGGCTAAAGATTTTGAGCTTTTTATTTAGCTAGTCACTGGTATGGGAAGAGATTGGCTGCAAGGAAAACAAGATATGACCCATAGAATAAGCAATCTAAGTTAAAATAGCTAAATGAAATCAAGTAAAAATTTCTTGTTCCTCCAATCTAAGTTTATAAAGAATGTCATTTTCCTCGGCACACCAGTGTATACGGTTTGAAGACCCTGAACTGCTCTGAGAATTATACGTCAAGAAACCAGTAATTGTATTTTCTTGATAAATACGGACCTTTGGTTCATAAATTCTCTAGGAATTGGAAATCTTCCTTGGTTAAACATGAAGTATTATCAAATAATTTTGATGAGAAACAAGTACACTTAGGGAAGTTTCTGTGCATTCTTTGGACTTTTTTTGCTGAGAGCTCCAAAGGTCAAGGGAGAAGCGCTCTGAGGTGTTGAGTGCTGAGCTCCGCCTCTCTGACGAAGCTTCTCACAGGACACTTCAGCAATGCTCCTCTCTTCTAGTGCCATCCAATGGCCCAAAGTGGACGGGAAAGAAGCAAGACGCACTCTCTGTGTACCCAAGGCCTCTTTCCCTGTTTACTCCTCTGAAATACGCTCACCCCTTTCATTCTGCCCGCCCCCTTTCTGAGGTGCAATGACTCTCTATTCCCTACCGCATCTCCGCATCAAGTGTGCCTTCTGAGGTATTTAATTTAGTCATCAATAACTTAGCACCAATAACAATAACATTAATCAATAACAATAATCTAGGCCAAAAGGCATCCAGACTCCTAATTTTCTTAAATTTTATTCCGTGTGTGTGTGTGTGTGTGTGTGTGTGTCCCTGTGGGTGTGTTACTTATATGTGGGTACATGTGTATGCGCACGTACATGCATGTGGAGGCCCAGAGTGACACTGGGTGTCTTCTTCGATTTCTCTCTACACTTTTTTTTTTTCTTTTTTAAGGTAAGGTCTTTTACTGAATCTGGAGCTCATGAATTTAGCAACAGTGGGCAGAGTGTGAGCTCCAGGGATCTGCCTGACTCTACCTCCTCAGCGCTGGGATTACAGATGTGTGCCATCGTACTGGGCTTTTAGTCAGCTCCTCACACCTGCAGAGCTAGCTTTTGTACCAGCTGAGCCATATCCTCAGCTTTGTGGTACACAGTCTCAATATTACCACTGCTGGT